ATCGGTGTCTTTCGTAGCTTGCATGTCTTTTTTTTGGTATAGCACTGTTGTATTTTTTCGTATTCAAAAGATTTCGTTCCACAAGCATTCCGTCATCTACTTCAACTCCGTCATCTTCCTACCGCCAAGTTCGCAGCCCTCCGAATAGTGTGTAACACTACCATGGAGCGGTTGGTTGCGGAAAGGAGACAGACGTTTGTGTCGTTACATTCAATCCATACATGTGCGTATCATTTGTATTTCACCCAAGCCCTTCCGTTTGCAGTGTTCATTGAGTGTAGACTATCACAGGTTGGCTTCCATCATGTCATTTCTATGGGTGCTTTTGCTGACTGTTGAGGCCCTCCTCACAGCAGTCTTCGCTTCCTCAGCTGCACATCCTTTCATCAGAGTATACGCTGAGCAGAACCCAATATCAGCTCCCTTGGAGCACCTTTTTCTCTGCCCTGCTGAACTTAAGGACAAGGTCGACCTCTCTCAATGGCCTCGCTACGAAGTGACCATCGATGGTTCCAATTGTTCGAGCCATAAGGAGCTGTTGGCCGAGGAGAACAGGGCTCAGTTCTTCCAGTGCCTCACAGATGTTGTGAACATCACTACTCACGCTATGGATACTATAGGCCTTAGCCCAGCTCTTAGTGATGGCACTTTGCTCGGGTGGTATCGGCATCATAAGGGATATATACCATGGGACGTCGACGCGGACACTTCTATTATGAAAGCTGACTGTCGAGAATCCTTCAAGAAGTACGCCAAACCTGAACACAAGAACATCGCCCAGGTCCTGCAAGAGCGTATGCCTGACGATAAGCACTTTCGAGTGAGAGGCATCAAGTACATGGTCGGCTCCGAGTTGAAAGATGATGATTGGGAAGGCTGCGAGAACCCTGAGTTCCGAGTTGTTCACTCCCTCAATGGTAGCAACTGCCATGTAGACATCTTCCAGATGCTACAGTCTACGGATCCTGAGGCCCCTTGTACCACGTGCCCCGGTTACAGTGACGGCGCTGTAACTGTCTGCCGAACTGCTGAAGGACGAGTTTGTGGCCTCAAGAGCGACTACGAGCCCTCAACGTGGGACCGCTTGGATTGGGGTGATTGTAAGATCCCCAATAACCCGGTAGGTGCCTTAGAGTCTCAGTATCCTGGTCCCGGCATCGAGCTCAATAACTTCAAGCTGGTGCCCGGTAACTACAAATATGGTTCGCAGATGCTCGTTGTCGGCCGTCCTGTCGACGCCAACGGTAACGAGATTAGCGATGCGGCACCTCCAGCTGCCGCACCATCACTTCGTGGCAGCGATGATAGCAAAATGCAAGAGGTTCTCACCAACCTCCAGAATCTGGTCAAGGAAGGTTGGTCTGGGGGCTTGAGTCGACAATACGAGATCATTGTATTGGTTGCGTTGGCACTTGTCTGTGCAGCGTGCCTTATTTGTTTGGGTGTTTGTATTTGCAAACGTCATCGCACAGTTGATGAACTTCCTTCGTCTTCTGCCGCTTCTGCATACAGTGATGGCAGTAACACGGCAATACCGATAGAGTAGTTGTCTCTGCAACTAATACCTTTAGTTCTTGCAATGCATTGTTTTTCTATATCGATTATCGTTCATTCCTCATTCTCGTCCGCATTGTGTTAATGGTAGTATCAAGGAGGCATATTTGATAGGAATTGTCCTCAGATAACGGGTCTTTTCTCTGCGAATGGAACACTTGCCTGGTAGTGCATCTCCAAATAGGTAAGGAGGATAAGATTTGACTTTGAATTCATGATAGGATTTGAATTCATGATTGCATGTTTCATCTGAGATTAGTATATTCCCATCAGTGGAGTCGAAGATTCCCGACGCGAGGCAATCGGAGAACTGAAATATGCAATGACATATGGCATATCTGCCCCATGAGCGGAAACAGTCTCATTGAAGGTGAAACTAACTTGCACAGTCAGTGTGAGATGATCTTCCTATGGTGTGCTGCCAAGTTGAGTACACTACGACATATCATGGACTTGTGGCATAGCTGCCCCGCCTGATTGATCTCACTACAAGCGAAACACGTCTCAGAGCTACGTTAAACTAACACACGACAGCTGCACAATAAAGAAACTATCCTTACTCATTTTTAATCACATCAACCAGATTGAGCAGAGAATTGGCTGAACCCGGGCTCACGCCAGCGGATAAGTCATCAGTTCGATTTCTCTTGAAAAAGTAGTACAACATAAGAATGAGGCACATTGTGCAAATTGAACCTATTGTAAGTGACACAGCATAGGCGCGAATGCTCGACACCATCACAATCTGAGGAACTGTGGACCAATTCATAGCAATAAATCTAGAGGCCAGCACGTTGACACCATTTTCAGACAAGCTTATGCTCGGGGCTATTGCGGGCATATCAGTCTCGCCCATAGCACCTTGAGGGCCTCTTAGCTTACCCAGGCTAGCTGATGTGTGCATTGTTTCATTGCTCATCATAGCACGACCAACCACCAACATGCTAGATCCGAATTCATGATTCCTTGGTACGCTCTGAAGGTTGAGCAGTTCCCAAGATAGCGAACCAAAATTGGACCCCAATACAGCACGAACCCGGTTTGGGACCTTCACATCACCACCATCCTGCTTGTCCCATCTCATTGGAAAAAAGTCGTCATACAACGCACACGAATTATCCAACTCTCGACAAGTGGTAACGAAACCTTCGTTATAACCTGGGCAAGATGCACACTCTTCACCACCGGTATAGTTCGATTGGAGTAGCTGAAATACATCAGCATGGCAGGTGACGTCCTTGTAGTCGTGGATGATACGGAACTCTCGAGCATCACAGTTTTCCCAACCATCAGGAGGCAACTCAGACCCAACACCGAACACGATACCAGCCACACGATAATAAGAGTCAATAGGTAAGTACTCTCTGATAAGTGCGGCCATATTCTTATGACGCTCAGAGGAATGATCCTTGAAAGCCTGTTGACAGTGACTTTGCATAATGGTGAGATCAGCGTCGACATCCCATGGTATGTGACTCCTATCGTGTCGTTGCCAGCCTAATAACGAGCCGTGTATGATAGCCGCATCGACACCCAAGCTGTCCAGTGCATGCGTAGTGGCAGTAGTAACTTCCGTTAAACACTTTAAAAAATCTCCTCTACTTTTGACCTCCATAAGCTCATCATAGTCCATACAAAACGTACCGTCAATAGTAACCTCCTCCGACGGCCAGGACGTCAAGTTTACACCATCTGTTACATTCATCGGGCAAAGGAACAGATTCACCGATGGCGCAGTAGCGACTAACTCCTCCGCAAAGATTCGGATGAAAGGATGCTTGGACGAGGGCGACGTAGAGGGCACTGCTGTTGAAAAGCCCGTAACCTTCACCTCACATACCGAAAAGCATGCCATCCCGACGATGAATCGTTTGCAAGTCATCAAGAACCAGTAAATCGACTGGAAGATTAACCATCTAATAATATCCAGTACGGCTCGATAATTGCAGCACCTCCCTATGCTGTGCGCTTGAATCTGTCCACCGGTTGCACAAACACTGTCCTCACTGGCTGTCGAAAGCGGGGAAGCACGATAACTGTCAGCCTGAGTCCACGAAAAAAATCCAAAAAGTATAACAGGATACTGCGCCCGCTGCAGGGATGGACCGCACGACCTGACCGATGGAAAACCGTCCGCTGGCCATTAAGCTAAAAGTACTTTAATTAAATTAACGTCTTTCTAAGGCTTATGTAGCTCTTAGTGAAATTAGTTCTGTAGGATGGGGCGGCTATGCCACCCTTCTGAACACGTGTCTGATTGCCGTGAATTCACTAGGATCATGTTATAGGAAGACCCATCTCGTCGGAATGATCGGACACAGCAGGGATGGCATATCGGCCCCTGCAAGCTCAGTGCCAAATCGATTACCGCAACTCGTCGAAATCGGTATTACTTCAGTCGCTCAGACGAAATCGATTGTACGGCGGCATATCTTGAGGCTTTGGCATATCGGCCCCGGCCAATCCAGCTCCCAAAGGGTTATGAAATACGCTTCTGTGTAGTGTAGTAGTGCATCATCCCCTGTCGTCGTCCATGATAGACACATACAGGGTGATGCAGGGGTGGGTGGAGCCTTTGTTTGCATCAGCCTGGAGGAGGGAAAGATGCGCAGGTTGGGGAGGAAAGGTATGAATCGATTGGTCTCAGACTACATCACAGTTACTATCATATGATACTGTGAATCGACAGGAGGGGGACCAACAGCGATGTGTTGTATTCTTTGATGAGACTGGGGAAATAGAGCATTGGCTGAGGTCACGGCTTGGAGGAAGAGAAGTACTTCGACGAGGTGAGAACGACGGTGGTGTACTCCATGTTCGTTCGCTTACTTCTCTGCAAACTACCAACACGACTGATCATCAATCACTTGGAAATTTCTATTCTCTTTTGACTATATTGATGAGACGAAGGATAGAACATACTGACTTCGGTGCATCCTTAGTTGTCGAGATTCGACATACTCTGAAGAAACGAAATGCGAGGAAAAGAACGAGTAAAAAACACACGATGCCAATGGTGAACGGAACAGCAGAGGTTTCAAAATATGCCGAACTCGTCACCTCGGACCTGAGTGGCCAGTTAGCGGCTACTATCTTCTCTTCGGAAATTATCTGCCCCTTGTTGGGAAGCAGCTCTGTTGAGGTTACAGTGGAGGCGTCGTCATCCCTCAACTCACCACCCAGCGAGCCTCTGAGGTTCACTGGTGGACTTGATATTCCTTGACGGTCGTATTTCTTAGCA